TCCGATCACTATGAGTTTTCAAAAAGTGACAGCCAGTGGCTCTGCATATCTCATCAGCCAACTCCTTTAGCACCCTTGCACACATCCTGTCCAGCCCTGTGGGCCTGTACACTTCCAACTTTTCTAAACAGTCCCCAACCTGTCCTTTTGCCCCTCTCAACTGCTCACCTCCTCCCCAAACTGTGCTGCCAGGTACAAGAGTCTTGGAGCCGACTTCAGCCTTTTCCACATCACTCCACTAGGTTGCCTCTCCCATTTAGTAAAGGACCAATACTTTCCCTGATCTTCCTCTTGTTGCTGACACACTTGTAGAAACCCTTCTTGTTATGCTTAGTCTAACCTACTATATTGCATAGCCATGACCTTCACCCAAGCACTCCCTCAAGAGGAGAGACTTCAGTTAAGCCAAATAATTCAGTTCCCAAAAAATTAAAATGTGTGCCACTGCCAGTGAACAGAAGAGACATGCATGGGTTTCCTGTGATTGCAATGAACTGATTAGATGAAATACAGCCAAATGATCTTGCCACAAACTATATGCCATGCTACATAATGCAAAAATGAGCACAAAAAACCCTGACACTGATCTCAGAGAAAATTCATTCCTAATCCCAAATCTTGGGGTCAGTATGACCTGAATATATGAACAAGCAAATTATCTGACAGAGTATTCTGTCACACTGGTCCACTCTACCCTACTGTCATATTTCTAGCCACAGCCAATCTCCAAGGCCAGATTAGAAAGTAATTAGATTTTTTAAACAAAAATTTAAGATAAGCTTTAAGGAAAGCATTATTGATCTGTACTTAGATTTATCCCAAATTACTAACAATTGGTGTTAAAATTCAGACTCTCTCATTTCCCTCAAAAACCTAAGCAATTCTGAAAGACATTACATACCAGTTTCCCCCCACCCAAGACCTAAATAAGAATATCAGTTTCAATCTGCCGATTGCCTGGTTTACAAATTTAACCACAAAAAAAACCACCTCAAAGTATGCATATATAACCACAGCTAGGATGCACCCAAAGCATTGCTTAGAATTGCTGCCCTTTTGTGGGTGTTGTGCAAAGACTGAGACAATCTGTCCCAAAGATGCACCCAAGTTCAGACTACATTCTCATAAAGGGTTGAACTGGATCAGCAAATACACCTATAGTACATCTGTTTCTAAACACACACCATTCTGAATCAGTTTTGAAACAAAACCAAGCAGCAGCAAGTAAAAAAAGAACAAACCAGAAACTTCTCTCTCACTAGTTTTTAGAGACCAGGGACAGCATTTCACTTCCCTTGGTGCATCTAAATGATAGTTTTCCAGTCACACAGGTAACAGTTTTGCCACTTATACACATTTTTCAATTTTATTTTCCCTGCAGTATAGATACACAAGCAGAATGAACATGCACAGTAGGCTACATGCTTCCTGGGTACACATGCCTACATGAGAATAAATCCCAGAAAAAGCAAGGAAGAGGAGGGTGGCCCTTTTGTGTTTCAGCTCTAGGGTTTGAATCTGCATCTCTCCGACTTCCCAGCACAGTGCCTGGACTATTAAGGGCACATAATACCGAGTGCCTTCTCTAGAATACCTCTGAAACCAGCCCTCTGGGCAGCCAACAGGGATGTGTGTGGGGCCAGGAGGAAGAAAGGAAACTTGTGTGCATTTCAGCTTTCAGATTACTGACACAAGGAAGGAAGCACCTTGCTCCCAATGGGGCAGAAACCTCCCCACAACATAAAACTGCTCTCCATCCATTTTACTTCATGACTATTAAAAGCAAGGGGCAGTGGCTCAGCTTTTAAAGGAACAGTAAAGAGCCTAGTGGCATAGTGGTTACAGCAGTATAACTGGGCAGTAAGAAAGGTGGAGGATCAAACCTTCTCTGGGCAAATGGGGTCTAGAACATGAGTCTCAAGAAGCTGGAGTAAATGCCCCTACCACTCAGCTATGAGGGCTAAAACATGGGAAAGCCCCTTGTGCTTTTTCCAGGACTTATGAATTATATCACATCTGGCCAGTATAACCTACTGCAACTCTCAGTCTAGAACTACAAACACTCACTGTAAAAGAAAACACAATTATGAACTGCACGTGAAAAACATTATTTATGTAGCTGGAAAACTGCCATTTAGATGCCTAAATGGAAGTAGAACTCCACCATAAACAATAAAGTAGCAATTGATTTAAGTTTATTTTAACACCCAAGAAAGTCTACAAACTTTGTACCTGGAATGATTTGTTAGTACCTGTAGTATCATAGATTTCTACAACTCTATAACCAAGTAAGACTACAGTGCATTCTGTTAGCGCAAACTGAAGCCACATGTGATGTAGTGCTGAAAAACTGTTCAACTTACCCATTATAATGTGTTTTTACTCTGATGAAGTCTCTGTTCAGATTCATTTTTGATCCCATTCTGCTAGGCATGATACTGATAGTAGTTTAAATAAAAATATTTTGCCAGTGTATGGAAGAACCTTTCAAATCATTCAAAAAAGACGACTGATCTTGTGCTGAATTCTAATGAGCAGGTATAATTTCCAGCTGATAGCCTGTCCATCTGCACACAGAAAAGAAAAGCAGCATATAAATGTACATACACACACACAGAATGGTTAAAATACAACATAAATTTACATGTGCAGAGCCAAATCCTGGAAACCCCAGTCACTTTAAACCAGTGGCTCCCAACCTCAGGGCAAGACGTAAACCAGGGTCTTAGAGGGTCCACGCCTTGCTCTGCCCCTCCTGCCTGCAGGGCTCTCTCGGTGCATGGTCTGTGCGGCTCTCACCACCGCTACCCCCCACAATCTTGGCCCGGCCTGGGCTCTACTGGCGCCGTCGGGCACAAGTGAGTTGGCGGTGAGAGCAGGGGTCACGACCTGGGTTTAAGGTCGCAGTAAAAAAAAAAAAAAATTGGGAGCCGCCGCTTTAAACAATACACCTGAGAAAGCAGTTGGACTGTTTACATCCATAGGGCCCTTTGTCCCGCAGAGGAATGACTATGAAATAAGTTACTGGTAGTAAAACTTAATCAGGCTAGTTAAATTTTATTTTACACAATTATTCTGGTTTCCAGATCAGGCCTCAAAAGATTCTTGTTTCCACCAATTAAAACATTCATCCAGCAACTGCATGGACAAAACAAAGCCGTATCTGACAAGGGTTTTGGCTTGTTTTTTTTAAACCATTTCCTAATTAAACTTCCAGCCCTTTAATCCCAAATAAAACACACTGCAAAGACAACCTTTTCTTAAAGGACTAATGGCAAGGATCGGATCCCCTTATTTACAAGTCTCTTTCCTAGATTTTCTTTTCTTAGTCACACAACAGCATTTCACTTTTCCACGTCCAAAGCAGCTTGCACACACGAAAAACACTGCTGTATCAGAAACCAAGGCTAGTTCCACCTGCAGCGAGGGAGGGAGGTAAATCGGAGGCACGCTGGGGCAGCTCCGGGATGGAAACGTAGATGGACACTTCCCAGAACGACAGACACGGAGCATGGGAAGGACCCCGGGAGGTCACAGCTCGTCCACCCC